ACCCTTAAACCTAAACCCTAAAACCTTAACCCCTAAACCCCTAAACCCTAAACCCTAAAACCTTAACCCCTAAACCCTAAACCCTAAACCCTAAACCCCTAAACCCTAAGGGTTTCGGGCTTGGGGCGTTCAGGCTAGGGCATCTGGGGGATGTAGGGACTTCAGGCTGAGGACTGATGGGGGATTGAGGGTTGGGTTTAGGGTTTAGGGTTTAGGGTTTAGGGTTTAGGGTTTAGGGTTTAGGGTTTAGGGTTTAGGGTTTAGGGTTTAGGGATTGGCAAGGTCGCATCTTGAGTCGTTAGTAGGAGCACACCACACTCCAAACAGTACTGATGATGAGCAACATAGTTGTTATTCTAGTCTGACCTTGCAAACAGGTAATGGTAATATAGGGGTTTTAATTAGTAATTACAATTGGGTTTTGCGGCCCGTTGTACTATAAGTATAGTAAGGAACCCCCAAAATAATATTGGTAATTATTGGGGCCCCTACAGTATGCTCCTGCCGTTGTTTTAAGAAGGTCGATCCACAGAGGACCCAACCCCCAATAATGGACGAAACACCCCACACCCAAAGTGGAAAAGCCCAAAACCTGAAACCCTTACAGCCAAAGCCCCCAAAAAGAGACCCTAAAGCCGAGATTCCCTCAGAAGACTAAAGTGACTAAAGAACACTTCTGGAGCCCCGCATCGAGGGTGAGGGTAACCAGGATGTGATTGCCTCCGGTCGAAGATGTTTGAGACTTTTTGGGTGCTCACTTGGGCCCCCATCTTCCCGCCAGCCGAAACGGTCGAATCTCATTGCGCTGGCCATCTCGGACCGTGCCTAGGTTGGCTTTGCATGCGACAGGTCCGTGGCCGACGACGTCCCATGCGGAGCTGCAGACGTCCAGACTTCTAGGCCATCTGGCGACATACAGGATGACGGGGGCTTCCGGGGAGAGCCGCCGATGTCAGGCTCTTCACGACACCCAGTCTTCCGTAGGCAACCACCATGTCGGCTAGGATAGCGTTCACCCGACGGCATGCTGAGCACAACCGAGGGTGAAGTACATGATGGCTCTACTACGTCCCTTTGGCGGAGACCCGCCTGCCAATCAGAACTGGATAAAGCCTGATCGAGCCCTGTAAGATCCCTACATGGGGTATAACCATTCCTCAAATCCCGCACTAGTTCCTGGTTTTAACCGTATATCCTTGATCACACGGACACCCGTTCTATAGAGCTTTTGCATTGCCAAGTCTTAACAGACAAAGTTAATAGTACTAGGTTGGAGGGGCACTAGTGCGGCGTATAAACCTTACATAACCTCAACCCGAATTAAACCTTGATGGAACCCTTCAAGGAGCCAGGAAAAAAGCTTTAAATCCAGAAGCCCTAGTCGCTACATAAATCACTGTAAAACACCTCTTTAGCCCTAAACACGAAACCGAGGTGCTTCATCTCAGCACAGATCTCTTCGTAGGTGGTCTCCTGCACAGAGCCAGAGTGAGCCAAGGTATGTTCCCACATTGAAACGGGCCAAAATCGAGGTCTGCATACCTAAACTAAGGTTTTTTGGGTCTGCCACAGTACTGTCATTTTTCCGGCCCTTAAACCCGAACCGGTTGAGGCTCTCTGCTATCTTGGAACCGCTTCAAAGCACCTTCTCCAGCTCCACGGTGAGATCCACCACGGAGACGTCGATCGTCGGCACGCGCAGGGCCATGCCGGTCAGCTTGCCCTGTGAAATGTTGGGCTTAGGGTGTTTAGGGTTTAGGGTTTAGGGTTTAGGGTTGAGGGTTTAGGGTTTAGGGTTTGGGGTTTAGGGTGTATAGGGTTTAGGGTTGAATGTCGGGGCCTTTGTAATTAGAAAAACGATTTGGGGTATTTTATAGTATACTCATAATACGGAACCCGCAAAATCGTACATTAGGTAATTATTTATTTAGGCCCCTACGCCCTACATTAAAGGGTGTCCAAACCCTAAAGCACCGGACGCTAGAGAACCTACCCGTTTACGGACTTCTGTGAGGAAATCATAACAAGGAACCCGAAATACCCGAAAAAAGGTAGGCAACTTCGGCTTACGATTCTGATGTCCTTGCATAATTATCTATCATCCCTTTAGACCCTAAACCGTAAACCCCAAAGAGCGTTTTTTTTTTTGGGGGGGGGGGTATCAGAGGCCTATGCTAAACCTGAAGTGGTTTTGAGGTCCCTGATCCCTGGCCATACCCGTTAACCTACAGCCCTTCGAAACTATTACCGCCCCTAACCCTAAACCCTAAACCCTAAACCCTAAACCCAAAACCCAAAACCCAAAACCCAAAACCCTAAACCCTAAACCTTGAAAGGAGCCCTTGAAGGATCCTCCTTCAGGAACCTGAAAGAAGTAATATAGGGGCCTTAATGATTAGAATAGGGTTTTGGGGCCCTTTATAGTATATCTATAATAAGGAATCCCCGAATTAGAATATTAGGTTTGGGCGCCCTTTGTAGTATATCTATAATAAGGAACCCCCCAAAATGATATAGGTAATTATTTAGGCACCGGCATTACTAGACGAGCCTTGACGTCCGGGATGACCTTGGCCACGGCCTTGGCTGCGCCCGTGGAAGAAGGGATGATGTTGCCTGCGCAGATGAGGAGGCACTCGTTGGGGCTTTGTTGGGGTAAGGGCTCCTATCAAGGATCTGTCTATTATATAAGGGTTTTTGTAAAAGGGCTTTAGGGTTTAGGGCTTAGGGTGGTTGATGGGGGTACGCTGAGGGTTTTTTGATTGAGGTTTGGGCTTTAGGAGTGTGTTGATGTTTTCCTGACGGCCGGGTTCAGGGCCTAGGATTTAGGATTTAGGGGTTTTGGTTTAGGGGATTACCTCTGACTTCCAGTTCCTTCCAGCTTTAGGGTCAGACATTATACCAACATAGGTTCGGGAGGACAGTCTTAGAGGCCTTTACTCAACAGTTCAGGATAGAAACGTTTTGGGCTTAGGGTTTCAGTTCCCTAATTAACGACTAATTAATGTCTGAAATGGCTATACTTGTAGACCCGAGACCCTAAAACTCACAAAGCTGCTTTAGATCCGTTATGAAACCCTTTTTAGACCCCTTCGAAGGAACCCTAAACCGGATTTTGAAGTTTCTTGGATGTCCAAGTTGCCTGGGCCGGCACGGCCACCTCGCCAGTCCTTTTTGCAGAGTGAAGCCGCTCAGGGCATGTAGCGGCTTCTTTTCGTAAGATTTCTCTCTCTCTCTCTACGTATATACAAACACATGTATTTGTATATACCACATATAGAGGTCACTACAGCTATATATAAATATACATACATACATACATACTATATATATATATATGTATATATTACATACACATATGTCTATAGATCTGTATATGTATATTTAAATATGTATATACACACACTAAGTTGTACAAATGTAGTATTCTCTGTATGCATATACACATGCATTCTACACGGCGACATGTATTCTACACGCCGGAACTGATACTTCAAAAACTACAAATCGAACCGTAAGGCCTCTAGCGCTAAACTCTCCGCAACGACACACTGCAACATGGCTTAAGGCTTGGAGGTTACGGCTTTTTCTTTGATTGCGGAACTGAGCTTGTAGGACTTTACAAAACGAACCCTATTACAAATGATCAGAGCGCCTTAAACCCTAAACCCTAAACCCTAAACCCTAAACCGTGGCACCCTAAACCCTAAACCCTTACAAGGGAGCCATCTTCTGATTGTTCGGGGCCCCTATATACGCCTCCTGGGGCCCTTGGGCCCTAAACCCTAAACCTTAACCCTAAACCCTAAACCCTAAACCCTAAACCCTAAGCCTTAAACCGCATACCCTAAACCCTAAACCCTAAACCCTAAACCCTAAACCCTAAACCTTAAACCGCATACCCTAAACCCTAAACCTTAAACCGCATACCCTAAACCCTAAACCCCAAACCTTGGCCGGTCCTTCTTGGAGGTGCCGTCCACGGTGGGCTGCGAGGCCGTCATGGCGTGGCAGGTGGTCATCAGACCACGCTTGATGCCGAACCTCAAAGAGTACTTGGGAATTAGGACTATACTGAACTTACTAGCAAAAATTAAAATTCTAGCTGCTTCTTAGGGTTTATAGTAGCCAAAGATTAAAAATTATTTCTAAGTACCCCCAAGAGGAGGTTAGGGGTGAATGTAGGGGCCTTAATAATTAGAATAGGGGCTGGAAGGCGACGTCAGAGTCCAGGGGCCTGAACTTAGGGGTTCCTGCGAGGCTTGGGTTTAGGGTTTAGGGTTTAGGGTTTAGGGTTTAGGGTTTAGGGTTTAGGGTTTAGGGTTTAGGGTTTAGGGTTTAGGGTAAACCCCAAAAAGGTTGGAAACCGGATTAAGGACAAATCGTGCTGTGCTGGGGTTCCCTATACATTACTCTTAAGGATTGAGGCTACTGGGTTTCCAACTTTTTGGGCTTCTAGTGCAGGAGATTAGGGGTGAATGTAGGGGCGTTAATAAGTAGAATAGGGTTTTGGGGGGTTCCTTATTACATAATTGTAGCACCCCAAACCCTATTCTAATTCTTAAGGCCCCTATACTAGAGGGTTCAGGGTTTCAGGATGTTACAGGGTTTGGACCAGTGCAGCGTTTAAAGATGCCTTTTTGGGTTTTTTGGGGGGTGCATAGGGTCACTTCCTAATTTCGGCTCTAGGGTGTAGAGGGTTTGGGGTGTGGGATTTGAGAAAACTGTATTGCTTAAAAGATGGTTTAAGTGCCATAATAATTAGAAGAGGGCTCTGATGACGGTTCCTAAAGGAGTTACGACTTCGGGGGTTGAGGGAGTGGGGGCCGGGTTTAGCGTTTCATTATGGGATTGACGGCTGCCTTCTCAAGGATCAAGCCGGTATACTGAATTTGTCAGAATATTAGGGGCCCCACCCAATAGAGACATATCCTGAAACCTGCCCCGGCCCGACACTCTAACTAGGCCTGTTTCCTACTATTTGGCTTTAGGAAGGGAGAGCCCGACAGAAAAAGGGCAAAAGAATACTACAGGATAAACATTATTTAGAGCCCAAGCCAGCCCTAAACCCTAAACCCTGAACCCTAAACCCTGAACCCTAAACCCTAAACCCTAAACCCTAAACCCCCAGCCAAAGCTTAGGTTTCGTTTTTTTCCGCCCGGATGCTTCTCATGCAGCACTCGGACCGCGGGCGCGAGGCCGTTGGTGGTGCAGCTGGCGCAGGAGACGCACTCCATGGAGGGGTCGTAGGTGTCCTGCACGTAGGGTTTAGGGTTTAGGGTTTAGGGTTGGGGTTTAGGTTTAGGGTTTAGGGTTTAGGGTTTAGGGTTTAGGGTTTAGGGTGTCTGTGAGGGTTCTAGAAGGACCCCAATATGGGCCCACTCGGGTTCTATAAGTATAGGGCTGAGTAGGGGTCTACAGGGTTGAGGGTAACCAAGGTGCCAAGCGGAGAACAGGTAATGCCCCTTGTTTTGTCGTGTCTTTTTGTGTTTCCTCTCCTCGGAAACGCAAGACAAACAAACCCTAAACTAAACCCACAGCCGGTTTAAAAGTCCTCATTCACGCCCATGACGACGGTGTGAGAGTCATCCTGCCGCCAGACCAACAAAGCGTGATCGAGTTCAAAACCGAGCCCAAACCCGCAGCCGGGCAATATACCTTTCGAAGCCCCCCAATGAAACCCGACAGAAGCGCAGGTATGGTCCTATTATGTCCTAATTACACCGGGAGCATCCAGGAATATGTTAACACACCTTCAGACCCCTATCAAATCCCGACAGGGGACTCTGAAACAGCCCCAAACCCGAAACCCTAAGCCTGAAACCCTACCTGTAGCCGAAAAGACCTACCTTTCAGGGTTCCTTAGTATGGTCTCTATATATGCCCTAAACCCTGAACCCTAAACCCTATGCTTTCTTAAAGAAGGCTCTATATATAAAAATATATACCCTAAACCCTAAACCCCATGGTCCCATGGTTCCTTAAAAAAGGCTCTCTCTCTCTCTCTCTCTATCTATATATATATATATATATAATATACACCCTAAGCCCTACGGTTCCTTAAACAAGGTAGAGTCTTTTCGGCCACAGGTACACCCTACCTTGGCAGGGGCCGAGAAGATCACCTTCTTGGCACCAGCCTTCAGGTGCGGCTGCACCTGGAAGAATTGGATTTAATGCTTATGGGGTTTATAGGGTTTTTAGGGGGTTTATAGGGTTTAGGGCTTGTAGGGGTTTATAGGGCTTAGGGTTTAGAGGGTTTATAGGGTTTAGGGTTTAGGGCTTATAGGGTTTAGGGTGTAGAGGGTTTGGGCTTTAGGAAGAGTTGGGTCGTTGATAAGGAATTTGCAGGTTGCTTTCCTTTGGGGCTCAGGCCTTAGAGTCTTTCGAGGTTCTTGATGCTCTTTGATGCCTCACGCTAGAGCCCGTGCCACAAAAAAAACGTGCAAAACCACCGGAATCCCATAGAATATCAAAATGAATCTAGAGTCTAGGCATTACCTGATCCTGTAGGCAGGGATTGTATTTCTGCTGACCTCGGCACAGGATCATTTCAGCAAAGGCTTCGAGTGCGAGTGCACGAGTCGATATGAATATGCCGCTGTTTTGGGCGTGAGAGACAAAAGCCTTTTACGGGTTGAGGATCGAGTGCAGGGGCATGCCGGCATGCCGGATAAATGCGCAGGACCGAATCATTAGCGCAACATCCCGGTGTCATCCCCATGCAATCTAATGTACGGCAAATCCTGCTCTAATCATTCATTAAACGGTCCTAAACCCCACACCCTAAACCTTTGAAGCCTTACCCACAAAGGCCAAACAAAGCCGTTACAGAGACAGCTGTAAGAGACCTAGCTAGTTAACAAAACAAGCCTCTATTGAGGTCTCAAACACTCCAGAAACAAGAAAAAAGAGAGAATGAACACCCAACAAAAACGAGTCTCCGGATGTTCCTCTAAAAGGCTTAACCCTCTAAGCCCTAAACCGTAAACGCTATAAACCCTATAAGCCCTCAACCTTAACCCTCTAGAGTTCAGGCTTTTGGGGCGTCTAGCCCGATTTGCCTTCTCGGTGGTCAGGAACACGCCGGTGGACTCGCAAACGTAGTCGGCGCCATGCCTCCGCGCTTGCAAAAGATTTCAGATCACCCTAAAACCCTTTGAACTACCAGAACATACTTTTTCCTAGAGTCCCCATAAATTCTGTATGAGGGTTCATAACACTACAATAAGAACCTACACAATAGGAGGCTGTCGTAGTTTAAGGTACACGCGAACACCGACTCACCTCTTTGATCCACGGCTTACGATGTGGGGTCTACAGTGCCCTAAACCCCAAACCCCCAAACCTGTTGAGCTTCGGCCCTAAAACCTAAACCCTACACCCCAAACCTTGTGAGTTTCCTCCAAACACTAAACCCAAAGCTTTTTGAGTTTCGGCCCCAAACCCCGAACCTCAAACCTTTTGAGCTTCCGCCCTAAACCCTAAACCCTAAACCCTAAACCCTAAACCCTAAACCCTAAACCAAGGTTGAGGGACTTCCGGGTTTCCCCCACTGTTTGCTTGGGGCGTAGGGTTTAGGGTTTCAGGGCTGGGGCTTTCTGGCTTTGAGGTTTCTGCGGCGTTGGGGCTTGGCTTTTTCGGGTTTAGGGTTTTAGGGTTTAGGGTTTAGGGTTTAGGGTTTAGGGTTTAGGGTTTTTAGGGTTTAGGGTTTGAGGGTCTAGGCCTGACGGTTTGAGGATCTATTTGGTTAAATCTCTTGACTTCAGCATCAAAGGTCCTGCTGCATTAGTCAGAAACCTTTTCGACGACCCAGGCGCCATGAAAATGAAAGCACCCACACTTTCAAGAACTCTCGAGTCTTGAGTTTAGAAAGAGAATAAGTCCGTATTGAAAGCCCAGAGTTGAAGTAGGTTCTGCAGCCTACACCGTGCAACCGTTACAACCCAACACCTGAACCTGCCGAAACACCACTAAGCTGAACATCAACGCCCCGAAACCTCAGACCCCACAATGTCAATAATTTAGGGTTTAGGGTTTAGATTTAGGGTAGGGGTTGGAATCATTGCTTATAAATGCCGTGATAGGCGCCGCAAAACAAATAGCTGTATATTTAATGCGCCCCAGCAGCCCGAATTCTTTTGTAAACCCGAAAGTCAAACCCTGCAAATCACATCTATATTTTGGAATCATTCCTGAAGCTTAACAAATCACACAGAAACAAAGCAACGTGCAGCCCTGGTATACCTTGAAACCCGAACTCTTTCAGAAATCTTCAGCCCTATACACCATACAAGAACAAAACTAACAAAATACAAATATAAACTTGCAACCCCGCAATAAACCCCCCTGTATGCAACCTAAGGAATCCGAACCCTGTGTAGAACATAAACCCTACAATCGTCTTATCCGTCTAGCCAAAGGTCTCACCGAAGGGAATCTCCGCGGGATCTCGGGTGTGAGAAAGTGCCACCTTGAGGGAGTTGTCTCAAGGCCGGTCGAAGGTTTAGGGGTTTAGGAATTCAGGATTTAAGGAATTGCTGATCTAAACTTTTAGAATCTCAAGGATTCAAGGTATAGGGGTTTCGCGGTTTAGGGATTCATACATGTTCCAAAAAGTTTTCCACTAGTGTAAAAACGGGTCAGAATGCTGGCTTTCAGTGTCTAGGTGCGGCTTCCAGGCTTTCCTGAACCCCAACCAAATAACCTGTATCACTTGTAGGGCTCCTTATTCTGATTTCATCACATGAGTCCTTGAAAAGGTATCTCGGGGTTCTGGTCTAAGTTGTGAAGATCTGGGTTCGGGGGTCCAGGCTTGGGGCTTTGGGTTTGGGGTTTAAGGTTCAGGGTTAAGTTGTACAGTTTGGCTTGAAGTTTGTAGGGCTCAGGGCGTGCCTAAGATTTTATCAGTTCGAGGGTTGTGGGGTTTTTATGTCTGGAGGTGTTAGAATTCCATAAGGGTTCGAAAAAGCCTTGAAAGGGTTCTAGAAAGGATGTTTCGGGGTTTAAGGCTTAGGAACTTAAGGCTTTAAGGATTTGGTTCTCGGGCTTTCAAGCCAGAACAAAACGGTCTGACAGAGCGTTTGTCAGGTTTGCTTTAGGGTTGGGTAGTTCTACATAAAGCTAGATGATGTTTATGTAATTCAGTTTGTGATGATGTGTTCGTTTTCATGCGGCCCGTTGGGTCCTTGCCTGAGCGTTTTAGAAGAGAGCATTTCTGGATTTCAGTAGTTTAGGTCTTGAGGCATGAGGGTTTTGCACATCTTTCGAATACGCGAATCAGAACACCAAGGAATAAAATCAAACACGTGTTTATTTGTTTTGTTTCGGGTGTATGGCTTTGTCGGGGTCTTCTGTCGAACAATAAAGAACGAAAGATTCAGCGCAAACACCTTCGGCCCAAAGCCTTAAGCCTTTCAAGTATAGGGCTTCAGAACCGTGAACCCTCAACCCTAACTTGTTGACTTCGGTTGAAGGTCTTACTTTCGGGCATTGAGCTTTTGGGAAAACTAAAATAAATCTCGGCATAGAGTATAACGAGCAAGAGATATTACATGTCAAAGAATTAGCCCAAAACTGTTGGATCCCGTCTGTGCGGTGCCTTCGTGCCGTCGATAACCAGGGAGTCGCCATCGACTTCCACAGTTCCATCGTATTTGCCATGGATGGTGTCGTACCTGGTTCATCATATTGCAAATGGCACCAACCTGGCAGACCAGCAACGCAGCGAAGCACGCGCGATGCCGGTAAGGGTTAAGGCCCAAGAATTTCTGCAAAGGGGGCAACAGCCCCGCGCGTGCAGTGTGCAACAGCAAGCCTACGGCTAAAATTGCCTAGAAAAATAAATCGGAGAACCCCAAGAAAATCCTAACAAACCCTAAGGAAGCCAGGAGCGGCTCAACCGACGCGTCGTTTCATGCAGCCTTGGACACATGGCCCGGCGCAAAAGAAGGGAATGACTAAATCAAACCCTGAGCAGACGAGAGCTTGCAGTCACCAGCCAGGCAGAACACCGGGGAGGGGACTAAACCGAACCCTAGGGGGAAGGAGAGTGAGGCAGGGTTCAAGCAAAAAGGGCCTAAACCGAAAGAAGAGCCACGGCCCTAGCTTACTCAGGAGCACAGAGAGCCGTAATGGCGATTGCCAGTTTGCATGTAGCGATGAGCCTGCTGACTCTCTGCTGAGGATTGCAACCAGAGGTGGTTGTCACCCAAGCGCTCTTTGAAGTGATTCTAGGCTGCGCCCTCCACCAGCTGTTAGGGATTTGGTGGGCTTTCTCAAGCCTTGACCTGATAGCGCTCAGCTCAGGACAATCAGCGAAGTAATGTCTAGCCGAGGCGTAAGGGGCCTGACAGAAGGAACAGTTGGTATCGGCACCCTTGAAGCGTCGGGTGCGGGAACGCACAGCACCACAGCGGTAGATGGCAAGCTTGTTGGCCTCCAAGAAAGAAAGCGAAGTAAGAAAGCGCTTGAAGCGGGGACTGCTGGCAGCTTCCAGATCAATCAGCTCGATACCTTGGCGGTCGAGACGCGTAGCAGGGACAGCCGCAAGGGCAAGCCTGCGAGCACGCATGCGCAACAGGTGCAGGACCCGATCGCCATGAACCTGAACGGGCTGGTTGAACCTTTCGGCAGGGACCGGGGTAGGAGGAAAGTCGGGTTGCAGAGACTGCACGGTGACAGCTTGGTGGTTGAAGCCGACGATGCGGAGATGTAAGGCCTGCGCATGAGCCTCCAGCAGGGCATGAACGTGAGGGCTGGCATCAGGAAGGACTCGGCTGGCGAAGGCAAGGCCCCGAAGCGCAACCCCTAAAACTGGATGCAAGTCGACATTCAGAGCGTAGAAACGGCCAGCGCACCACCAAGTGGCTTTAGCAGCGCAAACAGCTTTGAAAAGGGGCCTGACAAGAGAAGGATCCCCGGGCTTCATGAGGGGCGAGCCCCAATCCATCAGAGGCCTGAGGAAAGAGGTAGCGAGCCGGACTCGGGCGTGAAAACCGCCAGGGCACTCACTTAAAAGCCGTATAGCAACCTTAAGTTTATCGGGGTCCCGACCTTCTATGAGATGGCCAGGCTTTCCCGGATGGTGTCTCAAACCAAGATGTTCCATGGGTCTAGGGTCGGCATTACGGTTACTATTCCTATCGCCAGAAACCCAGATCTGCGTCTTAGAAGGGTTAATTTCAAAACCCAAGGCCCTGTCGAAGCGGCGGGTAGTGTTAAGAGCAAGGTGCAACAGTTGCTTGTTGCCTTGACGTATGACGGCGATCGTCCGATCGTCCATAAAGGCCCATGTGGAAAGGTCCGGGTCAAGGGCCTGGACGAGAGTGTTCCAGGGGCCCAGACAGGAAGACAATGCCAAAGGTGATATGGGATCACCCTGAGGAATGCCCCTGAGGGGACGGATGGGAGCGGCAAGCTCACCACTGACGTAGCAAACCCTAGGACCCCGCCAAGCCTGGCGCAAGTAGTTGCAAACACAGGGAGGAACCCCCGAGGCTTGAAGCGCAACGGACGCGACCTCCGGAGCGAGGCTGTCGAACGCCTTGGAAAGGTCAGTCTCGGCAACAGCACACGGCCTGGAAGCGAGGTAGTTAGCAGTGGCATGAACAACAGAAGTGTTCTGTCTGCCACACCACTGACCACTAGGTGGTGGAGGACACCTGCGGAGTAACGCCTTGTGCCAAACACGCAGAAGACAAGAGCCAACCGAAATGGGCCTGGACTCATAAGGAGAGCGCTTAGGAATGCCCGCGACACGCCAAGACCAAAGCATGTCGGACAACTGGAGAGGAAGCTCACTGTTGCCAGCAGCAAGGGTAGTGTGACACCAGAGCTCAAAAAGCTCTGTCGCCAGGAAAGGCAGATGCTTTTCCATGGCATGAAGCTCGGCAGAAGTCCAACCGTCGAAACCTTCGGAGCCAGAACAGTGGAGCATGGCCTCAGAGAAAAGCTGACGGTCAGGCAAAAAACCTTCAGGGTCAACCTCAGTAGCACTAGACACAGCGATGCCAGCTTCGCGCGCCAGCTGGCGCCAAGCGTCACAGGCAGGCTGGGCAGAAAAACCAGGAGGAGCCCAAACCTTAGCCCAACTCTCACGCATTTCGGGAGCAGTGAAGGCGGCTTGCAAGATGCTAGGTTTGAGAGTAGTGCGGGCAAGCTTCCACTCAGAGGCAGAGGCAGTGGAAGTGGCGAACGAGCGAAAAGCAGCCTTCCAGTCCGCAGCGTTGCACTTTGAAACGAGTTGAGCCTGGGCCGTGATGGCCTGGTCCAGAGCAAGTAAGGCATCGGAAAAACTGCCAGCCGTAAAGGAAAAGTGGTCGTAACACTCCCACAAAACACGTTGCACCCGACTAAGCAAGGGGCCGTCCAGGGCGTCGTGAGAGCAACCATGCCGGATGCCCTCAGCGACAGCACGGTGAACCTTAAGGAGGCGTCTGTGCGCAACAGGTTGAGGGGGCCGGTGAGAAGGACCGGGAGCAGTGGGACGAGAAGAAGGTAAGGAACCCTTAGGCCTTTCGGCTTTTCGGTCAAGAGTGGCCAGGCCGTTAACAACGCAAAGGTGAAAAGCAGTCTCAGCTCTGTGGTGCCAGTTCTTCCAGGAAGCAACAAGGTCGGAAGTGTCTGGTTGAGAAGGACAAGTGGCGTCAAGGGTGTTCTTAACGGCCAAGAGCTTGTGCGCGGGAGGCTTAGCCTGGAGCCAGCGAAAAGAAGCACAACGGTGTAGCCGAGTAGGCTGCTGCAGGGGAGGGGGGCCTACAACCCTACACTTAAAAACCACCCCAAAGTGGAAAGGGATCCCGGGCAGCGGGGTTGCAAGAACCGGTTCAATGGGCACAGACGCGATGGCACGAGTGGGAGCAGTGCCAGCAACGGTGCAAGTCAAAGGAGAGGCCGTATGCCAAGACAAAGGCACGCAACTGTCGTAAACAGGCTTCCAGTTGAAATCCCCAAGAAAAACGCAGGGGGGATGC